ATAATAATAAATAAAAATTTGATGGTGCTCTTATACGTGTGCGTGTGTGGATATGTGTGAAAATAGTAAATTTTAAATGGAAATCAAGTTGAAGTGGAAATTTGTTGCAGTTAGTTGAGATTCGATCAAAACGCTCACAACCAAAATCAGATTAAACTACTGCCAAAAGAAGTAAATAAAAATAAATATAAAAAAATTCAAAAATATTAAATAATTAAGAAAACTTAAGGATTTCACATCTTTCGACACGTTGGATACCATTTGCATATAATGTCATCAACATGTGGATTAAATATAGTTTTCATGTCGATCATTTTCATTATCATCGTAAATGGTAAGTGATCTTGTGTGAAAAGACCAAAAATGTATTTAAATAATTTAAACATGTTCGTTTATTGTTAATTATCGATAATTCTTTAAGTAATATGAAACAACATGTGATATAAACGTTTTTAACATCGAATCGTACTCAATGATATTTTAAGATTTACATTTTTCTCATTCTCCAAACGTCATAAGAATACGTGATCCATATATATATATTCGGTTTTTAAAATGATTTCCGTACACATAACTTTTATATGACTCAACTCGAGCGTTATTTAACATGAGCTTTGTTCGGATCTCAGTTTCACACAGTCAACTCGTTAATATATGCTGGAATGTATAGATATATCTGTGTATATATATATATATATAGGTATATAGGTAGATAGGTATATCTACATGAGACAACTGGCTGCTATTGTGAAGACCTTGACACCTGCGGGCTGAGCAAAGCGTATCTATTGTTTCACCTGCAAAGACGGCTGCTGTCATGGTAGCTCCCGCTGTCGCTGCCGCTGCTGTTGCTAAAACCTTGATTGTGAGGCACGTTTTGTAGAAGCTGTAAAATTTTGTAGCTGTAACAAAGTTCTATGGCCTTAAAAGTAAAGTGTTTCGCTTTTATTTTGTTGAAAGTTTACAAAGAAAATTGTTAAGAGCCTTAGAACATGACGCACAAATGGGCCTAGAAAAGAAATACTATTTTTTTGCAGGCATTAAATTAAAATGAAAGATGAAGAGAAAAAAAGTGCTAACAAATAAATATGTAGATTAGGGGGAAAAATGTTAATTTATTAATATTTCAAAAAATTCACAAAATACGCGCAGAATAATAATAATATATTATTAGTATTATTGGCATGTTAATCTTAAAAAAAACCCCATTTTCAAATCAATATATAAAAACCATTGAGGATTCCTCTTGAGCTTAATACATGAGTGCATAATACATAAGAATTCTCAAATTAGAAGGGAAATTGAATTCTATAAAGTATTGAGGAAAAACCCATTTGAGTAAAGCTAACCATAAATTTCATCTGTATACACACACATACATAAATACATCCACACAGAGGCCCATAACAGACGCACATAAATAAGCAAAGCGATTAAATGCAGTCGTCGTTTGTGAAATAAGAGTAATACAAAGAACAATGCCAAGTAATTAGGAAAGTGGGTACTAAAATTATAAGAGTACAAAAAGAAAATCGTACGCCGTACCACCCCCTCTACTCATGCCACCCCCAAACACCCACACACACAGAGCGTAATTATTTGTGTGCTTTTATGAAAATGTTAACTTAATTTCTGCATGATTGAGCATTTATTTCAATGTTATTGTCTATGGGTCTTGGGCATTCGTAACGCCCTCAGCTCTGTGCTCTACGCAATACTCTTGCGCCCCTTGCCGAGTTCTATCTCTACTATTGTGGCTTTTGTATGACTCTAATTATTGCTGTGTTCACAGTCAAGTGCTATTTGGGTGCAGGGTTTATTAAACAAGTGTACGTATCGTATGTATGTATATAAATGTATATGTGTACATATAAAAAATATATGTATTTGCATACATCATTTTCATTGACCAAAATAACTCTTGAAATATTACAAATAATTAAAAAAAAAAAGAGAAAAAATAAAAAAAACATAAATAATTATAGATAAAAATATATTAGTCGAAAATGAAATTCTAAATAAGTAAATAAAAGTGTCTCAGAAATAATAAAGATATTACAGATATATTCAAGTATATACGACAATTAAAGAAGCAAAATTGATGTGTATTATTAGTAAAATAAAAGTCAAGCTTCATCTAAAAATAACATACGAAACAATAAATAATGTAGTATGGCAATTAGAAGCCACTTGCCTTAATTTGCTGGTCAAGCATTACAAAATACGGGCGGGCAGCTCTCCAAGCCAACAGACACACAGCAACAACTACTCAGCTAATTAGCTGTGTGAAGCAACCAAAAACAAACAACAACAACAATAACGTCGACAGAGACAACAATAAACCAAGTGAAAACCGGTTAATCCACTCGTTTTTGCCGGCTAATCTAAAAAAAAACAAAAAAACAAAAAGAAAAGAAGAAGACAAAGGGGCCGAAAGAAAATTTCGCATTGAGTACGAAATGTTTATCGTACGTATTGAACGTTAGGGTCAACGTCTTGTATATTGAGTGATAAACAAATAAAAAATGCATGCTTCTATAGATAGAGTTAAAATCGAAAGCTATATACAGATACTAATAACTAGATACAAATAAAAAGGTAAAGATACTTATAAATAGATAAATATACAGCTACAGCTGCAAATATACATATAAATAGGTAATGATACATGCAAATACCTACAGATACAGACACAGATATGGACACAGGTACAAAGATACAGGTACAACGATGCAGATACAATACCGATACACAAACAGATACAGATATGGATACAGATACATATTGAGATACAGATACAGATACAAAGATACAGATACAGACACATCAGAGACATGCAATTAGATACAGATACATGTAATCATATGCTGATACATATAAATAGATACAAATACAACTTTACATAAATAAAAATTCAGATAAATATTCAAATATAGATACAGATAAAGCTACATATTTTCTGCGTCTGGCTGCTTTGGCTCACACGGTAGCAACTGCCTTTGCCTTTGGCTTTTATCTTCGTCTTCTGCTTCCTCTTAGTCTGTGGTTATTTGCCCTGCCCCCCCGCCTCATGGTCTCGCTTACTCGCACGCTCGCTTGACCAAGTGACCAGCCACAGCGGAAGCGCAAAAACTACAACACATAAATACAGCAAGAGCAACAGTCTCAGATACAGATACTGATACTGATACAGATACAGATACAGATTCAGTTCAACAGCAACTACTGAGCACAAATACTCGTTTTACTTATCTTCTTTGGTGGCACTTATTGCGTGTCGCTTTGTATCGTTTTCTTCTTTCTTTCTTTTTCCATTTTTATGCCTCTCTACTCATGTTAATTTCGAACTTTGGAAGAGTTTGATAAATATTCTCTAATGAATCATTGTGCTTTACTAAAAGTATTTGAGATGTATAGATGAGTTTTCCTAATTATTCTTAATACGATTAATTTATGTAAAACTATAATGTTTGTATATTGTATAATTATTTTAAATTTGTTATATATCATTTGAATATTTCTGATGTCATTAACATTAACATTCAATTATTCAATCAGAAAAATGCCTTCCCCATTTATTTACCTAAGAGGTATGCAAACAAATTAATGTAAACGATTGCATTTATTAATAACAAAAACCACATTTATTTTTGTTAATTACAATTGAACGCAAATAATTCAAAGCAAAACAAACAAAACTAAAAAAAAAAAAGAGCATATTTGAAAAAATTTTGTTGTAATCAAACGCCTGAATACATAAATACATAAGCGTAATTAATTATATATTCATTTTTTTTAGCTCACATAAATTAAGAATGAATACAAAACTAACAAAATAAAGGCATTTTTTTTATTTTTTTTTATTCATAATCCGTTTTTATTTAGTTATTTATTTATTTTTTTTTTTCATTTAATACGTTTGGGAAATCAAACTGGAAATAAAAAGTGCAAAAATAGAATTGAATTTATGTGCACTCGGATCAAAGTTGAATGACTAATTGAACCAGGATTATTATGCTCTTAAATATAAAGTTGAATATATATGAGATATTATAAAACTATCATGATATAAATGATGAAAAGTAGCTAAATTTTTATTTTTAAAATATTATTCTATTAAATAATGAAATATATCCTATATCTTATATTGTATATATTTCTTTAAAAAATATGTAATATATTTCTAAAATTTACTAATTGAAAACAAATAAAATGGGTAAATTCAGTTCATAATCGATTCACATTTTGCTTTGCTTGCTGCATACTCGCCTGAAAAATAAAATTGAATCAATAATAATAATAAAATAATAATTGATAATAACCTCAACCTCAGTTCAGAAGCTAGTTTAGACTGCTAACGAATTTACAATGCGTCATGCAACCGCATATAAAGCTTATACACTAATTGTCATAAGTCTATGCACATACGCACATATACATACACACACACACACACAATTATCAGTGCTGCCGTTTTAAAATGTGGCAAACCGCAAGGGAAATCTCGACGCGCAGCTGCCGTTGTGTGCACACATATATACATAAATATTTTATTTGATAAGCAGCTGCTGAGTGCCGTTTAAAAAATGCTATACATATGTACATGTATAGATGGAAGCATATTATATATATATTATATTTCCGATATGGCAAAGGCGTTGGCAATTTGTCATAAATCACAAATGAG